AGTATATATATAATATTAATATTAATATTAATTATATATATATATATATATATATATATATATATATATCAACACTGCGCCACCGCGGTGGTAAAAATCTGCCACCGTCACAGCCCTATTCGCAAAGTCAGAGTATTCTGTGACAGAACACTACAGCCAATACTGATCCAGCAGCAAGAGGGACAAGATTCCCTGATAGACAAGTCTGTCTCCAAAAGCTGAAGAGACTTTGCTAAAAGGAAATGGAGGTGTGGGCTTTCGCCCAGAAGTTTGGACAAGGGCGGACAGGCTGGGTTGTCAGGATGCGGACATTAAGGACATTTTAACCTCTGCTTGGATAAACACCTGGTAACATCATTGGATTTATGGATCTTCTCCAGGTACTTGCAGCTCCACTAGGAGGGAAAGGTAGTATACCACCACCAGACTTTACCTGCAGGGACTGTCCCATCCCCACCTCCCTTGGCAAGTCAAGTCCTGGACCCTTCATCGATTCCCACACTCGAGCAAAAGTCGAGAAGGAGGAGGGCAGCAAGGTACACTCCTGTCAATCCTGAGCCTGCTCCAGAGGAAGTAGCTCCAGAGTCCGCTTCAGAGGAGGTTGTTCTAGAGCCTCTTTACAAGATGACCACCAGCCCAGAGTCTCTTCATAAGATGGCTGCCACACCTGAGCCTCCAGCTGTTTTGGCTGCCACATCAGAACCTGTTATGCCACTCCTGTGTTCCCAGTCATCGTGAACCTTGCAATTGAACACAATCAGGCATTGCAAAGACACTTGGGGCTGATCGCTAGTTTGGCGGATCCACCGCTGATTTCGGCCAGAGCAGCTGGTATCTCAAGGGCCTCAGCCTCAGAATCCAATCCAGAAACCTGACCAGTCCAAGAGCCCTCAGAGTCCACTCCAGAGCCCACTCCAGTCTGGGAGCCCTCAGAGTCCACTCTAGAGCTGTTCCAGTCCGGGAGCCTTCAGAGTCCACTCATGAACCCACTCCAGTCCGGGAGCCTTCAGAGTTCACTCATGAACCATTCCAGTCCGGGAGCCCTCAGAGCCAACTCCAGAGCTGCTCCAGTCCGGGAGCCCTCAGAGTACACTCCAGAGCCCACTTCAGTCTTCAAGTCCGCTCTTGAGCCCGCTCCAGCCTTTGAGTCTGCTCCAGAGTTAATTCCAGTCTTCGAATCTGCTCCTGAGCCTGCTTAAGTCTAGAAGTTCACTCCAGAGCTTGCTCCAGTTTACGAGTCCGCTCCAGATCCTGCTCCAGTCTATGAATCCACTCCTGAGCCCGCTCAAGTCTACGAGTTCATTCCAGAGTTCACTCCAGTCCACTCCAGTCTGCTCCAGAGCCGGTTCTAGTCCATGAATCCACTTCTGAGCCCACTCAAGTTTATGAGTTCACTCCTGAGCTCATTCCAGTCCATCTGCCGTATGTCACACCCATTAGCTGGAGTGTCCATGACAGCCACCAGTGGGCACTCCTCCCGTATCATTGCCTATTGCCTGTGGACTTTATTTCCCATCACCCTTTGCTTGGTCTATCAGGTCTCATTGTTTCCAGCTGTGTGTCATTAGCCTTGTTAATTCCCCTATTTATACCCTATGTTCACTTAGCATTGGGTGCTGTAGTATTGCACTGTGTTTCTGTTTGGGTTTTGCTGACATCTGTTTTTTTGTAGTACCCTGGGCTGGTGCTCTCAGTCTTTTGTCTTATGTGACTCTTATTTAAAGCTGCACTTGGATCTTTCGCAAAGTCCCAGAGTATTCTTTCATAGATTCACCAAATATTTTCATAATTTAAAATGTACAATTTTAAATTCTAATGTAGGAACCACTGAAATCACAAGTAGGTAAAAGCACATAATCATGGTAAGATGGTAATTATATTTGCAGGAGTAGTGTGTTGTTTAGGTGTACATTTTTCTCCTGCACGTAAAAATATGAAATAGTCCACATAATTATTAGTGAATGAGACCAAGTTTACTTAGAACAAAGAAAAGACTACCATTGTTTTGTGTTTCAGATCTCTATTACCTGCAGGAAATGGACGTGATCATCTGTGTGTAAAAGCTGCTCCAGTTCAGCATTTCTACTCATCAGATCATCAATCTCCTTCTCTAATTGCAGTAAGAGTCCTTCAGCTCGACTCACTGCAGCCTCTTCCTGAGCTCTGATCAACTGTATCACCTGAGAGCGGCTTCTCTCAATGGAGCGGGTGAGCTGAGTAAAGATCCTCTCAGTGTCGTCCACTGCTGCTTGTGCAGAGCGCTGTCAGACACACATCACAATAAGCACTTACTGCTGCCTCACACAGCCTGAAAGACACAATGAGCTTCAACGGGAATGAAAGTCAAACTCACCTTATGAGACTTCACAGCGTCTCTCAGCTCCTGGAGCTGATTCTGTCTCTCCTGAATTCCCTGCTGGAATTTTCTTTGTGTTTCTCCCAAAAGCCTCTGTTGGGAAAACGAAAAGGCTGTATAATCTCAGACACCAAATCAGTATGTAAGTACATTTCTAATACTTTCATGATAATGATATGGGATTTTGCATATGGCAGCCCATAGAACCGCTTACAGGAAAGTTATGAAATTTGGCACACAGAGAGAGGACAGTCTTAACAATAAAAAAACAGCAATTTTGGAGTCTCTAACTCAAAAACCCTCTAGCGCCACCAACAGTTCAAATTTGCACTCACATTTCTGCTAATAACTTTGGCACAGTGCCACCTAGTGGTTGGGAGATATGAAAAATGGCTACGATGTACTGAGACATAGCAAGCGAAATGATATCCAGTATTCCCATTATTGGCATCGGCCAATTTGAATTTTGTAAAAAGCTGTATTTTATGAATGCATTTGCATATCCTTATGAAATTTGGTATCTGAAGGTAATCAAAACGTTTCAGGGGAAACAAACATTATAATCAAAATTATAATGAAAATGTTTTCAAAACAACTCCTAGACCGCTGGTCAGATTTTCACCAAATTCATGTCAGATTTTGTCGATAGACGAAATGGTTTGCGTTGAACGAATCTTTGAATTTGATGACATGATGCCAAACTGCATCTGAGGCTGTAACTCTGACACAGTCACACCAAACTTTCTGTGTCATTGTCACCTCACACTGAACACCCCGCATACATTTTATAACAACGCCACCTATTGGCCAAAAGTGATAAACCATTAAACTAGTGAATAAACTAGTCATATAGTGGTTTTATTTATGATTTGAGTAAAATCTTAAAATGTCTTTAATTATTCATTGCTGCAGTTGTTCTGGTGCTCAGTGTCATTTTTACCTCCTCATTTTGCCTCTGTTGTGCTTGGCCCCTTAATTGCTGCTTGCAGCTATATTTTAGCATTAAGCATTAGCACATTAGAGTCTAATTTCAGTTCATACCTGTTTCTCTGTCCTTTCTGCTTCAGCTGTTACAGTGTCATGGTTTTTATGTTCGTCAATCAAACACGGAAAACAAATGAACTGCTGGTCAGTACGACAGTAGATTTCCAGTTGTTTGTTGTGTTTTGGGCAGATCATCTCATGGAGTCGTCTAATGGGATCCATCAGATTGTGTCTCCTGTCTTTAAAGAGATTCTCATGTTGTTCAAAATGACTTTGACAGTAAGAGTTCAGACACTCCACACAGGACTTGACCGCTTTGTATTTCTTCCCAGTACAGACATCACACTCCACATCTCCAGGTTCAGCTGTTTGTAAGTCTGTCGTCTTCAGTTTCTCCACCATTTCAGCAATTATGACATTCTTACATAAAGCAGGTCTTGAAGTGAAGGTGTGTCTGCACTGAGGGCATCTGTAGACTCTCTTCTGTTTCCAGCAGTCTGTAATACAGCTCATACAGTAACTGTGTCCACAGGGAATAGTCACTGGATCCTTCAAGAGATCCAGACACACTGAGCAGCTGAACTGGTCCTGAGAAAAACTGGCTTCTGCCATTTTAATAGATGTACATACAAACAGAGATGCACATACAACAGCTTGACAACACTTCAGTGACACTCAGCTGACAAACTGAAATATTTCCTGGTTCTGTTTCAGTAAAGTGTGAAAAACCGGTATGTCTGCATGGTTTGACTCACCTTTATAACACTGTAACATGACACTGAGTTTTACACTTTAACATTTACTTACACATTACATTTACAATATCCCATTCTATGTAATTGAAATGGTGGTATGTGAGCATCTATTGTTAATGTATATATTGTTGAAGTATGTATACAGTGCATACATATACATGCATACATATGTGTGTGTGTGTGTGGGTCCATACAACGAACTTGCAGAGTTTCTTCTTTACAGGTAAGCTAAACTTCGAGTTAACTTAAAATTATTCCTAATATGATGGACCTTTTTAGAAAGTAGACTAATTTTGTACTTCAAAGAAAAGTATGTAATTTTGTGATTTACCTTGTAGCTGGTTGGTTTGGTTTATGGCTTATAACGTTTTAATAAAGAGCTTTTTTTTTAAATCCTTATGGGAAAATTAACGGAAAAAATACTTCTGCAACCTGAAATAGTGGCCACGAAAACTAAGGCGCTCTATATTGTGTCTAATTTTTTCAGCCCATCTCCCTGATTTCCTTCATCCCTGTTGGCTAGACCGCACTCTACACCTAAGTGCGACTGGCCTCTCAGGGAGGTTCGTTTACTAGATGGCATGTCTGCTGATGAAGGCATGGGTACTGCCGTGATGTTGGCATTTTTAACTGTTTCAGGGACTTTTGATCGACTGCTGTTGGTTTCCGAGTGTTTCAGAATGAGCTATCATGAACAACTTGAACTGCGGCTTAACATTTCTACTCTGGACACAAATGCCATGACATGTTGCATCAAAAGCACATAGAAACCAGTGAAAAACAAATGTAAAAATGTATCCAATTTCACTGTAACATATCCCCCATCATTTCTAGACTTTCATGTTGAAGTTTGAGATTCTTGTTTTTGCTGTTTAATTAGGCCAATTTTTCCCAGGTGTTTCTAGTTCTCTCATTATCCCTTGTGTTTATATGCCCTGTGTTTTCCCTTGTGTTAGGAATGTGGAAATCAGCTTCTGAGGTATTCCCATTACAGTTCCAGAAAAGATGCAAAGCTTCCGGAGTGTTGAAAACAGCGCAATCTGGTGGTCAGTAATAAATAAAGCAGCCAAAAGCCAAACTGTTGGATGAAGCTGCCACCACACCAGCCAAAGTTTCATTGTGTGTTTGTGTGTGTGTGTTCAATTTCTCCCTCTGATAAATTAATCTACGCATTAAAATGTCAATAAATGCCAGTATAAACGAATATCAATATGGTGTAATAGAAGAACAACGTACACATATGAATAACAACGTTGTACATGTCAAGTATTTTGCCTTGAATAATTTGTATTCTACATGTTTGACTAGGTATTTAAAAATGTAACTGAAGTTTGAATGAAAACTCGTAAAAGATGATTTGGGGTTCGAACCTTCTGACAAGCAAAGTGAAGCACGCACGTGACTAGAGAGAGAATGAAGCTTTCTTTGTTGTCAGTCGTGTGAAAACAATACACCCCCAAAACGAGGCTTCACTGGAATCTATACTGCGTGCTTGATGCATGCCTCAAAGCTTTTAATCACTCATTTTGGGGTCAGTCGTTGTGGATGTAACCTCTGATTTGGATGTCTCCAGTGTTTCCATTTCCTTCCGTGTTCCATGTATTCTTGTCAGGGTTATCCTTTATGTTTTTGTTTAATTTTAGTTCCCTGTTTCCCAGTTTCCTGTTTTGTTCTTTCATTTATTAAACCTCTTGCATTTAGAGCCAGGGGTAGCATAACGGGGGAAGGTTAGGACAGTTCCAAGGGCCCTGATCAGAGAGGGGGCCCGACGCAAACAACCCCCGGAACACAGTTTCTACCGAGGGTGTCCGAGTTAGTATGCTGTTCAGGGGGGCCAGAAACCATAGGGGCGTCCCTGTTTAGAGCCACACCCGTCTGTCTGCCTTCCTTTTTCTCCCTGCCTCTCTTGTTATTACAGAATCAAGCTGGCTTCTCTATATATTCAGAATAAGCATTATTTTCTCACATCTTAGAAATGATAAGCCTATTACCAAGCATTAATTTCGATCTGCAGTCTAATAAAAGTTAAACAGAAAAATAAAATGGTTTACAACTGCACTGAATCGTCACTGTTAAAAAATGTCTTCAATGTAAAATTTTGAATGAATTAAAATAAATATCCAAGTTCTCACTAGGTACAACTTCATATTACAAGCTGACTAAACCTAAGAATTTCTTTCTTTCCTCTTTTTTTTTTTTTTTTTTTTACAGTTTATCTAAATACTCTGCATAATGAAAAAATGTGACACTTGTTAATAAAATACATTTTGGGTGTATAGTATACAATTGAATAACATGTAATATAGTTGTAATATAATGTTATTTAAAAATGATGTTGGAACCATATTTATTTATATTTATGTATGTATTTATTTATTTAACAATATTCCTAAAATTTGTTTGCTTTAATGATGATGCCATCACGCACAGTATTTTATTGGTAAAAGGCCAGTTGGAAGAAAGCGAGCTATTTCTCTCATTTTCAGAATGTATTAGTAGTAAACACATCAGAAAAACAAAACGACTGCTGCATTTAAAGTGTGTGTGTGTGTGTGTGAGGCAGATTACAGAGACTGTTTTCCTGCTCCTCCCAATGCTCAGCGAAGCATATTTCCTCTCTTACTGTTGATATAGGTCTACTCTAAAAAAAAAAAGCTTTTACACGGCAGACTCCTCTGATTCATTGCCTTAGAATCAGAAATTCAGGGGGTGTTCACTGCATGCTAATATTTTCCAGGCTTTGTTTTGTTTCCTGGAGACTGAAATTAAAAAAGCTTAAGGGCAAGTGTCCTGGAGTGTCATACTGATGGGGAACTGATTCTCACTCAGTAATCTGCAACAAAGACTCGGAGCCGATTACAAACCATGGATGTTTTAAACCCAGAGGACTACAGCTATGAGGACTATTATAACGCAGAAGGACTTGAGGGATTTGGGCTCTGCAAGAAGACACATGTAAAGGAATTCAGCCATGTGTTTCTACCTGTGTTCTACTCCATTACTTGTGCATTGAGCATTATTGCTAATTTTACCCTTCTAACATTGTTCATCAAATACAAATCTCTGAGGAAGGTGTTGCCTCTGCACATGGTCATATCGGATATTCTTTTCACACTCAGCCTTCCCTTCTGGGCAGTGTATGCCAGCAATGAGTGGATCTTTGGTGATCTAAGCTGTAAGGCAATCTCATTGGTTTACATGGTGAGTTTGTATAGCAGCAACCTGTTTGTTGCTAGTCTGAGCTTGGAGAAATTTATGGACCTTGCATGTGTTGCTTCTACCACCAGCATCTTCAAAAGTCCAAAGAGGAATACTATCGTGTGCATTTTGGTGTGGCTTTTCTCAGTTTTGGGTGCGGCTGTTCCTGTCAGCTTCGTTGAGACGCAAACGTTGCACGACCAGTACATTTGTACTTATCACTTCAATGATAAAGTCGGTTGGAAAATCTATGCAAGATTTCAGATGAACATACTTGGGTTCGTCGTACCGTTTCTAGTGCTCCTATTCTGTTCCATCAGACTACCATGTGTTGCTGAGGTGAGGAGCGCGTTCAAGGTGTTTAGACACGAAGCTGGATTCACCGTCATGTTTTTTCTCCTTTGGTTCCCCTACAGTGTGCTCATTTTCCTGTATGCTTTGCAAGACCTTCACATTTTTTATGCATGCACCACTAACATACACTTTGACTTTGCCATTCATGTGACAGAATGTATCGCTTTCATGCATGTTTTCATCAATCCTGTTCTGTACATCTTTTTAAACAAAAAAGTCTGGCGACGACTCAGAAATGCCTGCAAAACCCCAAGGGAGTATCTGCTTGAGGAATCCAACAGTTCATCTGTCATGTCAAGTCAGGGCAGAGCTATAGAGTTGAAGGCGGTTCAGCGATATCAAGCTCATGACCTGAGCATTAGTGCTGAACGACCTAATAACTTCTTACCTGAGCCAATGTAAAAGCTTCATTTCGTTTATCGCAGCTTTTAATAGTTATGCCAACAGTGCTGTTTACACTGCACTACTCTTTTCACTGTTTATGTTAGCTTGAGTTTATATGCCAATACATAATGTTTTCAGTAAAATTTGTTGAAGTTCTTTCCACAAGCAATGGCTGATTTAGCAAATATAAAACCAAAGACAAATTCATGCATGTGTGAGCCTGTGAGGTTTCCAAAAAGGATCAAAATACTGTATATCACCATTTTGCTGTCTAACTAAAATGCTCATGAATTGACACTGCTTTCAACAGTTCAGTGATTCTGAGATATCAGTTCACCCAGTGGTCTTTCCCCAACATTCTTATCATAAAGATAACGGTAGCCTTGACCCTTCACCCTTCAGATTAAAAATTACTCCGTTAGAACTTAGGTGCACAATTTAACAATGCTCAATGGATATTTAGCCTTTTTTATTTTTATCTTCAAGAACTTCAGTGAAGTTTGGATAGATGTGATGTTTTGATATCAGAATCAGAATTAATGGAATTTTTCTTGGTAGTCAAGCACACAATATGCACACATTCACATTTGAGGCATAACTTCACTGTTGTATACAAAATATATTTATTACAATAGATATTTAAAAGAAACAATAATGTATTCCACTTTTACCAAAGCTGCTGTGATATTTTGTTTATATTATGCGGTACATTTTGCTTATATTGTTATGCAAGACAGTGGTATTTTGAAACGTTTTAAACCTATTTTTAATAGTCTTTATGTCTTTACCAGGATTTATTTTAATAAATTATCATTTAAAATTTAGACATTAAAGGAGTCATATGATGCGATTTCAATTTTTCCTTTCCCTCATGCTGGACACATGGAAAACTTAGACTGTATGATGGAAACACAGTATGGT